ACTTTTTCTGCATCTATTGAGATGGTCATATGGTTTTTGTTTTTAATTCTGTTTATATAGTGGATCCCATTTATTGACTTGCATATATTGAACCATCCTTGCATCCTGGAATAAAACCCACTTGATTGTAGTGTATATTATATTTCTGATGTGCTGGTGGATTCAATTTGCTAGTATTTTGCTGGGGATTTTTGCATCTATGCTTATCAGGGATATTTGCCTGTAGTTTTCTTTTTTTGTTGTGTCCTTGCCTGGCTTTATCAGGGTGATACTGGCTTCACAGAATGACTTAGGTAGGATTCCTTCCTTCTTGATTTTTTTAGAACTGTTTCAGCAGGATTGGTACTAGTTCTTCCTTGTATGTCTGGTAGAATTCTGCTGTCTGTCTGGTCTTTGGCTTTTTTTGTAAGATTTTTTTGTTACTGATTCAACCTCATTACTTGTTATGGCTCTGTTCAGGATTCCTATTTCTTCCTGGTTCAATCTGGGGAGTTTGTATGTTTCCAGGAACTTAACCATTACTTCTAGGTTTCCTAGTTTGTGAGCATAGAGTTGTTTACAATAGTCCCAGATGACCTTTTACATTTCTGTGGTATCAGTTATAATGTCTTCTTTTACATTTCTGGTTGTTTATTTGAATCATCTCTCTTCTTGGCTAGTCTAGCTAGCCGTCTATTAATTTTATCTTTTCAAAGAACCCTTTTTGTTTTGTTGATCTTTTGTAATTTTTTTAGTCTCAATTTCATTTAGTTCTGCTCTGATCTTTGTTATTTTTTTTTTGTACAACTAGCTTTGGGTTTTGTTTTTTTAGTGCCTTGAGGTGCTATGTTAGATTTTTAATTTGCAATCTTTCTGTTTTCTCAATATAGGCATTTAACACTATAAACTTCCCTGTCAACAGTGCTTTTGCTATATCCCAGAAGTTTTGGTATGTTGTGTCTTGCTTTTCATTTCACACAATTTTTTTATTTCCATCTTAACTTCATCATTAACCTAAAGATTCTTCAGGAGCAGGATGTTTAAGTTCCATGTATTTGTATAGTTTCAAGAATTCCTCTTGGAATTGATTTTTAGTTTTATTCCATTGTGGTCTGAGAAGATACTTGAAATGATTTTGATTTTTTAAAATTTATTGAGACTTGTTTTGTGGCCTAAGAGAAACAGGTATCACCTAACCCCGGTGAGATTGGCCTCTATCAAAAAAACACAAAACAACAAATGTTGGCGAGGATGTGGAGAGACAGGAACACTTTTACA